GTCTTCATCCTTTCGCTTTTTAGATCACGTGTGTCTAAGAGCCCAATTTCAGGATTTTGAAGAAAAGGAACACAAAAGCGTTCGTCAAATCTTGGATTTCGATACTGCTACACATGTGTCTTTTTCGCCAGATTGTAAAAGTATGGTATTCGCCATGAAACGATCGAATAAGGTAATTCAGTGTTTTTTGTTTACGTAGATCATGGAACTATTAGGAATTCAACAGTTTTATTCCAGCTAGTTGCACGAGCTTAACCGCTCACGACCATTACCGTTTATCTTTTGCTTACATACCTTAAGTTTGTGGTTATTTAGGAATCTTCTAATTTGGCGCGAGTTCATTGGGTGGGGGGGGCGTGAGGTCGATTTTGCCCTTTCGCTTTCGCTACTTCCGATTAAAGCGTCGAGCCATGTGAGTTCTTGGAAACCTGTAAAATCTTGGGGAAATCACGCAGTGATATCAGCCAAAGTTCGGAGAGACCACCTGTCAACGCTTGTAAAACAAGATGACCTTGTACATAAGGGGTAACAAAAGGGCCGAATTCTCTTCCGTGCCCCCCCTCCCCCAAACCACCTCGTCCAAGCCGGACTGCGCCTTCAGTACGACCATAATAGTACATCCGCTAACAAGGGTTTTGGACGAAGATAATAGTTCAGCTGGTTCGGATTTCAAGCTGAATGGAAGAAGAAGCTGGTGCACATAACAAAATTATGTTCATCGTGAAGAATGTATCCTTCCCATCGTCGCATACCCTTGATATCTCTCACTGTGGTATTTCTTCGAATGGTGAGCCAAAGTTTTTCTTTTCAGTTGCCTTGGGTTTCTTTAGAGTATTGTTTTATACGTAAAAACTTCTTGAGATTCTGAGCCTTCATTAATTTCTGATTGCGATCTCTTCTCAAGGGAAGTTTTTGATGTCGGCGTCACCTGACAATAAGATTGTACTGTACGATATCCATGGCACCGTTTTGAAAACACTGGAACCGAAGGTTTGTGCTCTTATACCGTTCTTTTTCATTTGGTTTTATGAAAATCCTGGAGAACACCTAGAAGTTATAGATGAGTTCTCTTTTCGATGTGGTGATATCGCCTGATGGTCGATTTGTGGCTGCTTGTGGATTCACAACAGAAGTTTTCGTTTATGAGGTCAGTTAGGGAGTGGACACGATGGCTGGGGCGGGCGCTTGTTGCCATTGGTGGAAGGGCAACGAAAGGGCGTTCAGCCACTCCCACTTAGGCATTGTTCACCGTCTGCGACCCTGACGAAACGGCGGTTGGGAGAAAAGCAAACAATCGAGTCGGAGAATCGCCAACCGCTAGTTTCGCCGAACCGCCGCGGTTCGGCGGTTGGGCGAAAAGCAATAGATGCGTATCGATTTCGCTGGCGAAAAACGCCAGGGCGATCGAGCTAGCGTTTCGTCGAAGGCGAAAAACGTCGCGGTTTGGCGAAACGCCCGTCGATTCGTACCAAAACCCTTTCGCCCAACCGCCAGCTCTTCGCCCAACCGCCAGTCGATACGTATCGAAAGCTTTTCGCCGAACCGCCGCGTTCCAGAGAAACGCTGGACCGCAGACTGTGAACAATGCCTTAGCTTCCCCCCAGTGACATTGGTAAAAATTGCCCGCCCCATATCGTGAACTTTGCCTTTGATGAATGACTCTTCTACTTTTACAGATCCATGATTTAGGTTGCATTCAATCGTGAAAACGTGTTCCAAGATGCCAAAAGAGCCTTCGACTTGAAGGTATAGATTTCTATTCCACTTCTGACATTATTATAAGTAGAATCGCTGTAGCGAAAACAATGGCGGCTCTGCAACTGTCAGGGCACGTTGTACGTCGGGATCCCAGTGGGTGGGTCGTAGTATGCCGGAGAAAAGTTTTTTGATAATTAATTTTTCCGTTCTGCATGTGCCATGTACCCCGTTCCCTTCCTAGTTATCCGCGCAGTCAAAGTCCTGTTAACTACTGGGTGGCGACATCCGTCCTCTTCGTCCGACTGTCGTTTTTTGGAGGGAAACCCGATTTTTGAAAAAACTTCAGAAAGTGGTAAAAAGTTGGGAAAGTTTGGGAGATCGTAAGAAGGATGGAGTATAAGGAACGAGGGGGGGAGGGGTTGTACCAGAGGTTGTACTGGAGGAAGATGGTCATATTTTGCAAAATCTTTCCTTTCTCTCTGCCGTACGTAGTCGCCACTCAGAATTCCGTGGTAAAAATGCCACTGCTCGCGACCTGAGCGTGACCGATCTTCTTCGGTCTAGATCCACTCGTGATACATAGAAATATATCTTTATTAATCCTTCGAC